AGCAGGTAAAGTACAGGTGTAGCTAATAAGCGGTGTGCTCAGTGCAGCGCCCTGATTTTGTTTGTGCTGGCTCACTGTAATAGCCTATTGGGACATTTAAATGGGAAAGTCATTGATGTTAAAGTAACACCTGAGATTTTTCAGGTCAAAATGTGGCATGTTATGAAAAAGGCCTGTACTTATTACCTGTGTGTGGTGGTGAGCCTGTACTGGTAGCTACGGCCGGAACTAGTCACCCATTGGACCCACTTTTGATCAACTTTCATATTTTGTTGCTGTTTGAGCACCTACTGCTTATCATTAATGTATTTAAATCCAAGTAGATGATGGATTTAGAGCAGTGGTTCCCAACTTTTCTATGATTGAGTAAACTGACGACCCCTGACTAAGTGACATATTTTATGGATATTTAATATTATATTCAATAACAGTACAGAACAACAGATAAACTGTACAATTAACCCAAATAGTGAATGCAGTAACTGCAGGAAGTGTGTGTAAAACAAATGATCTGGATGAATTTCCCTTGACTATAGCCTCATTTCAGCTAACTGTTATGGTTGTAGCTTTATTATTTTGGCCTCAGTGGGACAGAAACATGACTTCAGATGAATGCTAATGTTGCACCATAACTGCTGGATGTGTTAACAGGTAACTGCTTACAAGCTCATACCATATTAACATGAGATGTTGTAATATATTAGTGTTCAACTGTTTCCGTAATTTAGTAGCCAGGCATCAGATCTGCAGGTAAATTCACTGTCATCAAAGCAGCCTAGTCTGTTCTGAGACTTCCTAAACATTAAGTTTTTATCACAATATTTTCGAAAGAATACCTTGCTATCAATAGTTTTTTGGTAGCTGACTGACATTTGTATATACAGGACAACTTATACTAAAGTAGAGGCATTATTTTTACATTTAACTCATGATAAACACTAAAAACAAATATTAAGACAATCAAAATTAGAGTTAATATCTTGTCTATTGTTCCCCAGTTCTACCCAAGTGAAATTCATGTTTACACCTTTGATACCCACCATGATGCTGTAGGCCTCTCCAGCCCCGCTGCCCCTCTCCCTGGTCTGTCCCACTGGGATGATGCCCTGGTTCAGCAGCTCCTCCAGGATCTCACTGGACTTTGGGCGTAAACCTGAGAGAGAGACGAAATCCAAATGCTTCAGGTTGTTCGGATTTTCTCTCTAGTGTCACAGTCGTTCTCAGTCAGCCTGTTTGGGGCACAAACTCACCGTCCTGTGCAGCCTCACTTTCTCTGACACATGTTAGAGGAGGGAGTTTTCTGGGCACTGCTCCAGGTAACACAGGGATCTCTCTGTTCTCCATCACCACCCCGCTGTCCGTGGTGCCCTTTGACACGGCCGAGTCTCCACGACCATCGAGTTTACTTGCTGTCTCATCCTGACAGCAAAGAGACACAATATAAATGCAGGACAGATATGTTTCTATATCCTGATCCGATTCTATATGGTATCCCAGACGTGATATTGTCATGGTGACGTCTGTGTGTTGACACATTGTCATGAGCACAGTAACTCAGGAACAACGATGATACACAGCGGGTAACACCTACAAATTACATCATCTCAGAGTTCGACATTAGTACAAAGCGTAACAGTGAAAATCTGTGAGCTGATTAGCAATTTTATCTATATTCAGGGAAAAAGTAATCAACGGTTACAAGTACAATTTTGAGATATTTGTGCTTTACTTGAGAATTTCCATTTTATACAACTTTATATTTCCACTACACTACATTTTAGAGAGAAATATTGTACGTTGTACTCCACTATATTAATCTGACAGCTGTAGTTAATTTGCAGATCAAGATTTTCTGTCCAGAACATAATATATTTAAATACTATCATCCTACATATTTTAATATGATGTTATTGAGATGGTGTTGTAAAAATTAGCTCCACCCGGATCACCTACAGCATTAAAATACTGCTTACATGTCAATGCATCAGTTAAGCAAACAATAGCAATACATGTCGGTAATGGACATTTCATCAATAGCAATTGATTGTTCAACAGAATATAATAGTTAAAGTGCGTTTAATATTTTTGTACTTTGACCTAAGTGGCATTATTAGTGTGCAATACTTTGTTTTTAATGAAGATTCAAATTCAGATGTTCACCCAAAATCTGTGTATATGTAAATAGATTATTAGATTTAAGGGGTTTGAAGAGGTAGAAACGTCTTAAAACTGACCAGAGAACCTGAGAACCGTACATTAATTTATCCCTTAAAGGGCCTCAATTTTAAAATCAAGATAAAAATGCAGGGATGGTTTTCTGGTCAATGTTAGGGGGGTTTCCCTTATAAACCCCTTAAACTATAAATCCATAACAAACAGCAAATACCAAAAACCATTAATTTATCTATCCCCTTAAGATCCCATTAAAATATATCAATTATACCATTATTAATGGTATTATAAGGTAAAACAATTAAGGGATTCAACTTTATAGTGTCTACATAATGGGAAATTTATGATATTTAAACTAAATTTTTATGATAATATGATGATATCTTTTTTTACATTGTGATATTGCTATATTGCTATTCTTTCACTGCTGAATGTAAGTACTTATACTGTATTTTATTATATGTATATAATAAAAACCATTGAATCAGTAGTAGATATAGAAATTAGTGACTCTTCCAAAGGTCACACATTTTAACAGTCCACAGATTTCACACCTGTAACGGCTCTTATTCTTAAATATCTGCCCAAATGTAACTAACTTTAATACATCTTTTAGATACTGTTATAAACTGTTTATCTAAACCACTAACACTGGTTTTGAACTCCACACTTTTAGAGAGTTTTAATGGAAGTGGCGGGTCGTGTGAGACGGAGCCTACCTCGTCTCCATTCACCTCTTCCGGTCTCAACGGGTGGACCACGTCGGTGTTTGTGGAGCTGCCGCATCCCATATTCACCTCACTGCAGCGGTGTGTGAAATAAGTCCATAAAACTCATAGATAGTCAGCTTTAATTACACCTCGGTGTGTTTTCTCTCTGTTATTTGACCCGTGCAGCCTCGCATTCCTTCACACACAGAGAGAGAGACAGACATAGACAGTCTCCATGGACCCGGTGCGTTGCTAAGGGCCGTTGCTACAATAAATCTGACCCGGTTTAAGAAGTGACACCCAGGGACAAGCTGTGGGTGTCAGAGTCAGGACCACCGGGTCAGGACCCTACAAAACACCGTCTTTACATCCTCATGTTCCTGCACTGATTCTCCTCTTTATCCTCTTTACACTGTGGTGAGTTTAACCTTAAACCGTTCAGGTTTATGAACTCACACAACTTATGTAACTCAAGTATTTGTTAAGTAATTCAATTGACTAAATTAAATAAATTAAGTCAATTTTACCAATTACATTCAGTAAATTTAACTTAAAACTAGCGAGTAAATTCACAGTCACATGCAGCATTTCTCCAAACATATTTAAAATGTGTTCACATCATTTATTTGTAATATTTATCTATCAATATCTAGCTATAATATAGTAAGAAAAAACTTTAACTGCATCTTCTTTACACAAATGTTACCACTCAAGTTGAATTTACTTTAAAGCTAATTATTACATTACCTGTCAAACAGCTGATGTAAAATGAAAACAACTTGTAATGACTTAATTAGCAAAATAGTAATCAATTAAACTCTAATTGTTACTGGTGTAATTAAGTTGTTAACTATAGCCTACTTTATGTGACAATAACATTAAATCTTTGATAATTATATGATGATTTATAAACTGAAATAATATATATATATTTATATGTTTAATCCTAGGCATATAAAATACTGCACACACTTAAATTCACTTAAGTTATTACCTCAACAGTTTTTTAGTTACATTTAATTTGTGGGATTGAGGGTTGTAGCCAGCAAGTATTGTGTGAGGTCAAACTGAGTCCTTCCAAACCCTCAGACCATACCCAAACACCACCAAAAGTTCAACACTGTACAAATGTTTAAAGTTATTTCAGTTTACTGTCTGTACATTTTAATTCCCTGTGAAGGTCTAAATGCTTAATTCAAAGCATCTGACATCGCCAAACACTGGAATAAAGTAATGGTGGTGAAATACTGACTCCTGTTTTCATTTCAGCTATTTCCTGAAAATATTCATATATTAAATTTAAAATGACTGGAATCAGATTTCCAGCTGGGTAAAGCAGACAACTGCCCTGGAGGCTCAGAGAGAGAAGAGTAATACATACTGATTCTACACAAGCCAATGTAGTTTTGCTTTGCTTTGAAATATTTAATTATATTTGTGCGACACCACAGGTGTGCAGCAGAGTGCTAATGCACCTCTACTGTAGGTAGGAGTGAGCGCAGGAGTGAGCGCTGGAGTGGCCCGTGGCCGTGCGGAGCCTGGGCTTGTTGGCGAGGACCACAATAGTGTCCAGGGTGGGCAGGAAACTCTGGTGCAGGTTCTGGCACTTCTGCTCCACCTCCTGGGCTTGAGCATTTTTAGTCAGTTTGCCTTCCAGGATCATCAGATGCCTGCGAGAGAGCTCCAGGTCCTGCCTATAGAGGAAGTTTGACATAAATACATTTAGGATAAAGAAGATAACGGGCTATGGCTACTGTTTGGTATCATTAGAGAGGTACAATTGTGACCTTAGCGAACGGTCAGACTTACTGAGAGCGCATCAGCACTGGGCGAAGTCCAGCTGCCATCTTTACCAGGTCATGTTTCTCCAGTGTGAGGCTGATGTAGGGCTGCAGGAGGAGGAACGGGAAAAGAGGATTAAAACCATGTTTCCACCATTTAAGGCTTTATGTGTTTCTGACTGCAACCATATGTCATTACACGGTGAGGCACTTACCTGGTCCAGGCAGAGCTCACGTCTGGGTCTCTGGTTGAGGATGTCCAGGCGGTGGGTGACCTTGTGCAGCTTGGAGTCACAGTTCCTGATCTGGCCCAGCAGTTTCTGTACGTCTGTTGTCAGATCAGCAATCTCATCTCGTATCTGGAGTTTACAGAAACATCACAAAAAGTCAAGTACAGTTGTTCTGTGGATCGTAGAGAAAAAGTGTGACTACAATCCGGGGGACTGACCTGCTGCCGCTCCCAGATGAGTGTATCCTGGATCCTGCTGAGCTCATTAATCTTCTTCCTCAGGGCATCCTGTGAGCTGCGGCACTGGCGGTCCTGGGCATTTTTCAGCTGGAAAAGTCACACATATCAAAAAGGTTATGAGAGACCACCATATTTTACTAGTTGTGATCATATTTGCAGAATGTCAGTGTTTATTTGGAGGATACTGCTCCCTCCATGTAAAGGTAAATAGACTTCTATGAAGAAGAATGGACAAAAGTTGATTAGACTGATGGCAAAAACTATAAAAATTAGTATTAAGATAGTAAAGCAGTCCTCTACTTAATGATTTAAACTTAAATCTTTGAGATAAAATACATTCAATATGTACAAAACTGTCCTCAGACTCAGGTCAGGTCAGGGGTTTTGAGGTAATGTCAGCATTGTCTTACATTTGCCAGGGTGAAGCGCAGGTTTCCCCTGAAGGAAGAAGAGTCCTTAACCACTTTATCAGCCGTCAGCCTCAGGTCTTTGCAGTGGGACAGCCACTTGTCATAGCTCACGTGGTTGGGCTTGTATTGACCGGCGGGGAGCCGGGAGCTCGGGGTATTGAGGTCATAGGCGATGCATTTGGTGGTGAGCTTGATGGCTTCACACTTGTCCCGGAAATCTGCCAGCAGCTGAACGCGGACCTCTTTCAGAGAGCTGGAGGGGAGACACAACAGAGGGAGGTTTGAGTGCAGAGTGACCATAATGCAGACATACAGCTCAGGAGAATGCTTTGAATTAAGAGGTTAATTAATTAGCATGAAACTACAACTAAATGTCTGTCGGACCTTAGGTTTTTGAGCAGGATGCAGATCTGCTTCTGGAGGAGTTCTCTAATCTCGTTGGTCAGCTGCTCTTCCCTCTTCAGCTCAGCGAGGACGCGGTCCTGTCTCAGGACTGCTGAGCTCAAACTGTTACCGATCGCCACGCAGTCGCTCATGAGCTGACTGTACAGCTGCTTTTCTTGAAGACAGGCCTCAGCGGTGTCTTTCACCTGAATGGTGTTCACACGAGCAATGTTAAAGACCGATATTTAAGGAGTAAAAGAAGAAAATGTGGTGATTTACTGGGTTTTTATTAGTAAAGTGTCCTGCTAATAACTTGTGTGTCAAATAAGTAACTTGTAAAGTATTTATATGTACTGTGTGTACGTACCTGCTCCACTGCAGTGATTTCCCGGTCCACTCGACCGATGCTCTCAGATATCTGGGCCTGCCACTGGCTGACCTCCGTATGGCGAAAGCCGAGATGCCTCCTTGTGCTACGGGTGGCAGAGGGAATCTACAAAAAAAAAAACATCACGCAAATGAATACACTGCAAAACAAATGCAGTTAACCTTACATTTAGCACAGATTCAGCACAGATAGGAACATGAGTGAGATTATTAACCGTAACAATATGATGGGAGGATCAGTTGATGTTCATTACCCGTGAAATATCTTCACCCAGGGTACAGACGATTTCCTTGTCAAGCTTCAGCACGTTGTTCCTCTGGAGCTGCGGTCTGCTGGACAGCAGGTTCATGTTGGCGGACAGGACAGGCAGAGTGAATCTGACCTCTGACCCCGTCTGGTCCTCTTTTAGTGCATGATGTTGCCTAACAGTGTGTCAAAACATTTATGACTTCATGAAAACATTGATTT